AAAAAAAAAAGATGAAAGTTCCATTTTTTACACTATGAGCATTTGTTAATTGCTGTTTTGCGTGAGAAACAAACAGGGCTTTTAGTCTTTACCTTTTTCTGTGGTCGTCTGTGCTTCAAAGAGGTAAATTCGGTCCAACATGTGTTGTAACAACAATTGCCTCGGTGGGTTTTGTGTAGGGTACCCTGTGTGAGAAAGGGAGGCATGAGGTTTGCCATCAACGGCCACTCCTACTTTAATTTGGTTCTCATTACCAACGTTGGTGGTGCCGGTGACGTCCACGCCGTGTCCATCAAGGGATCCAGGACCAGCTGGCAGCCAATGTCAAGGAACTGGGGCCAAAATTGGCAGAGCAACACCTACCTCAACGGCCAAAGCCTCTCATTCAAGGTCACCACCAGCGATGGAAGCACGGTTGTGTCCAACAACGTTGCCCCCGCTGGGTGGTCCTTCGGTCAGACCTTCACCGGCGCCCAATTCCGCTAGACAGTAGTATTTTTTAGTATCGACTTCTAGCATACCAAGGGTATAATTGTATACTATAGTTTATGGGGTAAGTATCTGGACCTCTATTTTTTAGGTCAAGATGATGAAGGGCTTATTTTAAAATGGTCCTTTCTCATTTTGATGAGCTGTAGTTTGTAGGGTGTGGTATTTTAGGGGCCCCTATTTATTGTATTAAGAGGTCATCTGCCCATTTTTCCTTCTGCTTCAAAGCAGGAGAGGCAGAGGTGGACTGTTACCACCCGCCGTTAATAGCTAGTAACCTTTTTTTGTTTTGTTTTTTTTTTTCGGGTTTCTGGGGATGTTAAGAGGCATTGATTTGGGTTGTGTGGTCATTTTCATCTGCTAAAAATGTCCATTGCTGTTATTTGTAGGGGTAAAATTGTCAACATGTCAGATTTCTACTAGTAATGGAAGAAAAGTTGCTAATTTAATATTTGGTATGCTCTTTTGTTATATTCTGTCTTTCCGATGCAAGAACGGTTGCCAATTTTGTGATATCAAAGAGCTTAACTGAATTACCATTGAAGGTTTTCTTTTTCTTCTTCTTCTTTATTTATTTTTTATTTTTTATTTTTTATTTTTTTATTTTTTCAGAAGAAGAAGAAACTATTCATTAAAGCCAAAATTCAGTAGTCCAAATTACATGGGCCTTAAAAAAAAATCTCAAAAACTAAGCAACACCGACAACTCATCACAGAACAGGATAACAGAAATTGAAAGCATAACATGGGCTCCCTGGAAATTGGAAGGAATCCAAACCAGAAGAGTAACTAACTAGAAGAAGGGTGCCCCTGTCTACTGCAGGACGCTTTTCCTCTAAAACAATGGCTACCGTGAAGCTTTTTCCAGTGACAAACACCAAGAAGACACCAACTGAAACTAGAACAGAAAAAAAATAATTGATAGAGGGGAATTGTGAAGGGAGTTGCATAAACCTCATTGGACCCCTTGGCAGAATAAAAGCAGAAACTTGATAAGAAGGAAGGGAACCCACCAAAGAACATAAATGGAGGGATGGAAAGATTGAAATCTTGTTGCCATCTCCCTGAACCAGATATCGCCCATAGTATTTCTGCTATGCGTACTATCAACTAGTTCAACTCCCAAACAAAACATCAAACACTTAGAAAGAGCAACAAAAACAGATATAAAGGATAGAGGGAGCGATTTGATAAAGGGACTTGAAGCTCTGCACCACAAAGAAAGATCCCATTCCTTGGCTGTATAGAAAGATCAGGATCATGGTACCTGAGTAGTTCCAGTAATAGAAAAACCTCCTTTCCCAAAAAAGAAGCAGTGAGTAGCACCAATAGGAACACCCACAAGGCAGTGCTCATCGCCCTTAGCCATGTCCACATCCTCATTTCTTTTGTTCATACCTCTCTTTTGTTAACCCACGTGACAGGATCCAACATTCATAGTGCTTTTACACGAGAGGGGATGTGTTAAGTGGGAAAATCTTACATCAAGTATAAAAATAAGAAGCTTGTAGGTTAAATACAAGGAAAGCCACTCCATTTATTACTAATTGGTTTTAGGTTAGATGCAAGTCTTATGTTGAGCCTATATGCATAATTTTCATATGGTATCAAAGCCCAGATTCTGTCAGGAAGTCCGTTGTTAGCCCACCTAATGGGACCTGAAGTTAAAGGTACCATGCCTAGCATTTAAGGGGGCATGTTAACTCATGTGATAGGACCCGACATTCATAGTGGGCCTACACGTGAAGGGGTGTGTTAAGTAGGAAAATCCCACATCGAGTATAAAAATAAGAAACTTGTGGGTTAAATACAAGGAAAGCTACTCCAACTATTGCCAATTGGTTTTAGGTTTGATGCAAGTCTTGTGTTGAACCCACATGCACAATTTTCATATAGTATCGAAGGCCAAATTTTGTCTTGGGAAGCCAATTGTTAGCGCACCTGATAGGACCTGAAGTTGAAGGTATTGGGCCTGCATTTAAGGGGGCGTGTTAACCCACGCGACAAGAGTTGACATTCATAGCGGGCTTGCACGTGAGGAGGCGTGTTAAATGGGAAAATCCCACATCGAGTATACAAATAAGAAGCTTCTGGGTTAAATACAAGGGAAGCCACTCCATTTATTGCCAATTGGTTTTAGGTTTGATGCAAGTCCTATGTTGAGCCCACATGCATATCTTCATATGGTATCAAAGCTTGGATTCTTTCCTGAGAAGCCTGTTATTAGCCCACCTGACAGGATTGGAATTTAAAGGTATCGAGTCTGCATTTAAGGGGGCGTGTTAACCCACGTGACAGGACTTGACATTCATAGCAGGCATGCATGTGAAGGGGCATGTTAAGTGGGAAAATCTTACATCGAGTATACAAACAAGAAGCTTCTGGGTTAAATACAAGGAAAGCCACTCCACCTATTGCCAATTGGTTTTAGGTTTGATGCAAGTTTTGTGTTGAGCCCACATGCATAATTTTCATATGGTATCAAAGCTCAGATTTTGTCTTGAGAAGCCTGTTATTAGCCCACCTAACAAGATTCGAAGTTAAAGGTACCAAACCTGCATTTAAGAAGATGTGTTAACCTACGTGATAGAACTCGACATTCATAGCGAGCCTGCACGTAAGGGGGCACGTTAAGTGAGAAAATCCCATATCGAGTAAAAAAAAAAAGAAGTTTGGGGGTTAAATACGAGGAAAGCCACTCCACCTATTGCCAATTGGTTTTAGGTTGGATGCACGTCTTGTGTTGAGCCCACATGCACAATTTTCATATGGTATCATAGCAAAAATTCTGTCCTAGGAAGCATGTTGTTAGCCCACCTGACAGGACCCGAAGTTGAAGGCACTAGACTTGCATTTAAAGGGGCGTGTTAACCCATGTGACAAGACTCGACATTCATAGCGAGCATGCTCGTGAGGGAGCGTGTTAAATGGGAAAATCTCATATCGAGTATAAAAATAAGAAGCTTGTGGGTTAAATACAAGGAAAGCCACTTTACCTATTGCCAATTGGTTTTAGGTTGGATACAAGTCTTGTGTTGAGCCCACATGCACAATTTTCATATCTTTTTCCTAGAACTTCCTTTCCTGGAAGGAAATTTCTTAGGGCTAGATTGGCACAAGACTTGGCTTTGTCTTAAGCTTCATTAAAGCCAGTGTAGGAAGGCCATCCAACTTGCTCCTTTTCATTTTAAGCTTATGGAAAATCTTCTCTAAAGGAGATCCATCAAAACTCAAGGGAGTAAAGGGTAAAGGTATTTTACCTTTTGATTAGTTTCCTCTTTGTTGGGAAGTTCAACATAATAGATAGGTTGATCTTGTCCTTCCACCACTTGAGAAGAAGAAACAAGGACAAATCCTTGAGATTTATTACAAACAAGGATATAACCTTTCTAATATTTTCTAATTGAGGGTACTACATTTTTTGGTAACTAATTAAGATTACCACCTTTTAGAAGTTTTCAATTAAGTATATGACCTTTGTAATTTTATTAACAAAGGATTAAGCAAATATACCTGTTGACGTGGCTAATAGATTCTCTTAATCCTTAGTTTGCCTTTACTTTTTCTAAATAGTGGTGGCTATGCCAGTATGCATATTGCTTAATCTTTTGTTAGTAAAATTGCAAATGTCATATCCTTAATTAGAAACTTTTAAAAGATGATAACCCTGATTAGTTATAAAAAAAAGTAGTGCCTAAATTAGAAAATTTTTAAAAAGTTGTATCCTTATTTTTACCAAATCTCTTCTAAGGAAGCTCCATAATCTCATTAGCACTTGTAAACTTAGCAACCAAAAGTTCTAAAGTTACCATATCCAAATTAGAGGACAAGACATTAGCAGGAGTAATTTTTTAATATTTCTGAAGAAATTATGAAAGGAGAGGATGAAACACTCTTATTTGTGCTAACAACTTATGTTTTGGTTCTTTCTTAACAATTGCTAGTTGGTACACTTTCCCCAAGATTGGTCCAAAACAAGTCCTTAATCATTTCTAGTTGGAGTACCAATTAAGTATTGATCTAATGATTACGGTAGAGATCCTAATACTTTTAGGTTTTATTTTAAATCTTATTAAAATGCAAAGTTATACAAGCTTATTATTGATTTTTACTTAATTAAATCCCATTTTTGTTCGCTTAACTTCGAAGAGACCTTTGAAGAGTGGAGTCTATTGAGTCCCCTAACTAATTTTGGACTTTTTAGTCCCTCAACTCTAAAAAGTGGACCTTTTTAACCCTTCATTAAGTTTTTGCCTACATGGCAAATAACTTAGCTTAATTGGAGGACTTCATCTCATTGTATATTTGGTCTCTCAACTTGATCAAATTGATGCTTTAATCTCATACTTCTTATATTTTTTAATTTGGTCCTTAATTTCAAAATTTTTTTTTTGCATTTTGTCCTTAAACTTTGAAAAAAATTTCAATTCAATCCTAGATTTCTAATATCTTACAATTGAGTCTTTTAGTGTAAAAACAACAAAGGTAACATAAAATAATTAAAATCACATTTAAGTTATTCAAATGCCATTAAAATCAAAATCAAATAGCACCATATATATTATGTTTGAGAATTCAATTTATCAAACTCAATAGTGTTTTATTAAATTTTAAATTATGTGAATTCCATAGGATCATTTGCCAACTTGCACAATTGGGACCTATTAAAATAAATTATATAATTATCTTGTAAATGAAAGGTTAATAAAATAATATTATGATGAGTTGAAATTTGAAGAAATTTTTTAATTTAAGATAATATAATTTGTTTTAATTAATGGGTACTACTTGTCTGAGTTGACAAATGTTTCTAACTGGAATTGCCATATTATTTAAAATTTAATAAAATTTTTAATTCTCATCCATAATATGGTGCCATTTAATCTGATTTTAATGGTATTTTAATGGGTAATTTGTATTTTTTATTTGATTTTACATAACTTTTTTTTTTTTTCGTGTTTTTGAAGAAAAGGACTCAATCTTAAGAAATCAAATATCTTGGAATTGAATTGCAAAATTTTTCAAAGATTACGGATATAATTTGCAAGAAGAAAATTTGAAATTAAAAATCAAACTAAAAAGTAAGAAGTATGAGCACCAAAGTGTTAATTTGATGTAAGTTGGGGACCAAAGTTGCAAGCAAGATAAAGTTTTTTTTTTTTTAATTAAGTTAATTGCCATGCAGGCAACAAGGCCCACCTTTTTAGAGTTGAGGGACTAAAAAAGAATCCAAAATTAGTTAAAAAACCAAGAAGGGAATTTAATTTTTTCATTTCGTTTGCATTATAACATTAGCCAAATTCATTATTAATATTTTCCCTTCGTCACCTTCGACCTCTCTACGTTCAAGCATTTACATATTCCATATAAAAGTGATTGGGAAAACTTCTGAGAAGACGGGAAGTACAAAGTTGCTCAAAGAGTTCTCTAAAATTTTTGAGGGTTTAGAATATTATAATAAGGGTGTTTGGTAAAATTTAAAAAGCAATTATTTGAGGAGTATTTTTTTTAAATTAAAATTTTGTTCAAAAAATTAAAAAATTGGCTTTTAAAATATTTTTTAAAGAAATTTTGAGAAAGTCTGAATATATAACTTTATTAAAACTTACTTTAAAGCTACTTTAAAAGTTAATTTTTGAATTTTTATTAAACAAATTTTTAAATTTGTAAGGAAAGAATTTACATTTAAGTAAGTTTCTTTTTAAATTTTACCAAACACCCCTTAACACTTAGACTTTCATACATTTACACATTTGAACTAATAGTGATTAATTAACTCCCACTTTAATTTCTCATGCAATTGCAAGGTACTTAATTAGTTCCAATTTAGTTGGGTAATTAATATTTATAACTCTCGCCATACTTCTAGCCTAGTTTTTTTCTTTATTATACGATAGTTTGTAATTTATAATCGATTAAATGTGTGGAACTGACTTGTTCATTATTGATTGAGATGTAAATAAGTTATATTTCAAACGGTAGTCCCTATAAAAGAAACTTAACTAAGCGAATATGCGCTCTTTCCATTTTTATTTAGCTGTTTTACTTTTTAAATGAAGGTATTTTTATTTAATTGTCGCATAATGTTCTTATTTCAAATTCACTCCTATTACCTTAAGATGTTAATAAAGGATAAAAGCTTTTATTATGGATATATGTCACAGTTCAATACATAATTAACCATTGCATTTTTTGTTTTCTCCTAACTTATGACTATAAGTTTATAATTTTAAAGTGGGACAACTAAGAAAAGCTTGAGATTAATTTTGGAAAAGTAATATGTTTCTATAATATAATTTTTTTTTAACTTGTTTTCTTAAGTGTATAATTAATACAATTTTTATTTAAAAAATATAAAAATTGACATTAATTTCTCTAATAAAACCATGTAGATTATTTTAATCAAACAATTTATTAAATAAAGATTTTTTAA